CATTCTAATTAGAGATAAAAATTCAAATTAATTTGATGTTATGGTTAAGATATGGACAGTACGGAAGTAAGTTAAACAAAATAACAAAGTAAATAAGATGCATTTGAAGATCTTAAGGAGCAGTAATGGAAGCAAAACGAAAGATAATACAAGGGCAAAGAACACTTACTGTTGCAAGGAGTGGTCCCGACAAGATCGCTACCGTCCTCGGAATTAGCCACGGACTGGACGTGCGCGCGGGGGAGCTGGCACTTGTAACAGTTATCGCGCCTCTTGAAGTTGTGACTAGAGCACTGTAAGTTTGGACCAATCAATGGAAGGCAGCATATGCGACTTTAATGATGGGGAAGTAAGCCAAGCATGGACAGACACAAGAGAAAAAGACTGGGAAGATCAGAAGCGGTCGACGATACCCACCCTTGAACAAATCCAATCACCCATCGAGACGTCCGGCGAGCAAATCGAGCGACCGAGAGACAGAGCCAGGTTGTCGGGGTAGGCACGCGAAGAACTGTACGACATCCGGAGTTCCTGACGACGCACGCGCATGATTCCCTGTAATTGACAAAGCTTCAGATTAGAGAAGAAAAGAGTAGCATTTAACCTATCGGGAAGGGAGAAATACCGGAGGATCCGAAAAAAAGAATAGAAAGATTATGACAAAACCACCAAAAACCGGAACTTAGGCTTCAAAGTGAGCGATTACATTTTGGCTATCCATCCAGTGCTTCGCCTCGTCGACAGAGGCGAATTCGACAAAACCGAATCCTCTCGTCATACCTAGAATGCAAGTTGACAATAAATGAACGTGATACAGCTGAATTAACAAATAAAAGAAAATAAGCCTGAAGAGCGAATAGAAAAATGTTGTTAAGTGGAACAATTTAACTGAAATGACTTGAGAAATTCTTACCTGTTTCTTTGTCTCTTATGACACGGACGTCAATAAATGCCTGATGGTGGTAATCTAAGGTTTGGCGAATCTAGAAAAATAACTAAAGATACACTTACATCACGTTCATCAATGGACATTGTTAAACCTCTGACCATAATCGTGGCCGAGGGCTCATCAGACTAGAAATAAGGCACAAAACAAAATTACCCTATCTATGTGTTCATCGCGTGATGCCCCAAAGCTTAATTTGGCCATAACACCGCGGACTGACATTTCGCCCTTAAGTAAAATGTAAGGTCAAAATTTGTTACCCTAGAATCCCTAACAAAGCGTCTGGCATCTTCGATCGATTTAAAATCGACGAAGGCAAGACCACGCGAGATTTGAGATTTTCTATCTTTTACTAATCGGACTTCTGTGTAGACAGCTCGTTCATCCTCTAATGCACGTTTTATCTATTGAGATAATAACATAAAGAGGAAGTACATCTTTTTCGTTCGCCGAGGTTGGCAGACCACGGATCATAACTGTGTAGGATACACTGCCCGAAGGTTTAGGCCCACGATTCCTAGAGCTTAAAAATTAATTAGGCTAAATTTACCTCTCTTCCACATTATGCAAGTGCTCTTCGGCCCTCTTCCTTTGTTCGTTGAGAAAAGAGCTAAGGTTCATCAGAGCGAGAATACTGGCAACGAAACCGGGAGAATAGCAGATAAAAACAAACAAAATCAACAGCAAATAGTCATACTTGTATTTATATATATTTTAAAATATTTTGAACTAAAAACTTTTAAAAAATATTATTGAAGCAATACTTATGCTTGCTTTTATTTGGCGCTTCATTTGATTATTCGCAAACATGAGCAGGGCCCCTCAGCCTGACCTCAAAAAGTAAATTCTATTAGCATATTTTTATTTTTATAGATATCTCGATAAGAAAATAAAAAGTAAGAATTTTCATCCATCAAAAAATGTTTGTTAATGCCCCTCCGTCGCATGACGCTTTATTATTCCTTTGGGTTGAAGCTAATGCTATCTCACTATATTGCTAGCACACTTATTTTGCGTTAACATTCATAAATGATTTCTTCTTAACTAGTCTGAATATTATATTTTAGTTAAACTGAATGGCCACCGCGAGGTTGAAGGCTTCCTCCGAGGCTTCGATCCTTTCATGAACGTTGTCTTAGATGACACCCACGAAATAACTAAAACGGGTGAAAAAAGTAATATTGATATGGTGGTCATACGAGGAAATAGTATTGATGTTATTGAGGCCATGGAGAGGATATAACCTGCATTTAACTCATTTTGCATTTTAATAAAATATTTTGATTATCAGATATATCCTGGTAATGTGGGCACTACATTGCCATTTTTGTTTGCTTCC